ATTCTGAAAAGTGGGGTGTATGGGATGCCCGTCTAAGGGGGTACGCCTGCGGAAGTCCAGCCTTTCACCTGAAGGGAGAGGGTTTGACTCTGGGGATGCAACAGCTCAAGGTTTGTTTATCTAGCCTGTCTCGTCCTCCTTTTTGCGAGTAGAAACTTGGGGGGTTTTCCTGGGCGGCCCTAACTCTGAGTGTTCTCCATGTTGAATTGGCTTGTTCAGTTCAGTTGAACATATTCTCTGCAATCACTAAATGCCCTTTGGAGGCCGGTAAAGTGGCTTTTCTAATACAGCCGCCAGCCTGGTCCTCACCGCTCACACCATCTGCCGTGGAGCCAGCCTCTTCAAGCCCTGTGAGGAAAAGTTGGGGTTTTAGGAGTAACAGAATTTCCTCAGCGTAGTTAGCGCATATTTATTTTATAACAATTAGTGGCCACATACACTAATTCTGCCCAGGGAAGTTACTGTAGTTCTCTGTCCATTTCTCGCTACACAGTGCTCACTTGTCTGAGAGGAGGAGAAAACTGCTTGTTGAGCGCTCAGCTTGGCCGGTAAGGATGTGTGAGAGCGGTGTGTGTGTGTGTGAGTGGGTGTGTGTGTATGTGAGTAGGGTGTGTGTGCAAGTAGGTGTGTGTGAGCATATGCATGTATGTGTGGTGTTCAAGTACCTCCCCAACAATGTGGAGGCCTGACAGAAACCCGTTTACTGTCATCCGGGTACTTGTCTCCACAGCGATACTTCATTGTTTTGAAATAAAAATAAATAATGCTGAAACCACAACTGGTTTCACAAAGAAAATAGGTGGGGATGTGCACTTATACGCGGGACTCCTTGGAGTCTGGCCTCTTACACTGGGCTGGGGGGTTGGGTCTGGGGAGGAGGGGGCCTGGTGCAGGAAGTGGGATCAGAGTGCAAAGCCGGGGGTGGGTAGATTTCCTTCCCTCCCTCGCCCTGTATCTCCTCTGGTGGAGCTCTAGAGCGCTTCATCATGAGAGAGGCTAGGGCCTCCTTCCAGTCTTCCAGCAGGAGCCTGTCTCCAGGGCGCACCGGTTAATACAGGGGGAGGGAGAGGAAAGAGGGGGGAGGATACTTGTGCAGCTGCCAGGGATGGATTTAGTGGGAAAACAAGGCCAGAGAAAGATTTAATTTTTCTTCTCTTCCAAAGTAGATCATTGAGGCATCTCCCACACTGAGGGAGGGATTGGACACATGGGGATCCCAAACCTGCCCTTTTTGGGGCCCCCCACTTCTTAGTTCTGTTGGCACTTGCCCCAGACCATAACCAAGTCTTTGAAAACATAAACCAGACTTTATCAAGTTTTGACGAACCTGTAGCTTAAAAATGGGTCATCCTACCAGATCGTCCTTCCTCGACTCTTAGCTAAATAACTCCTGTCGCAAAGACAGCGATACCTCAGTTCTCCCAGGGGTGGAGTTGCAATCAGTGTTATGGTGGGAGGAGGCCAAACACCCTGGTTACCAGAGCTCTACCTATGCCCAATCTAAATTTGTACGATATTTCTGGGGATTATGGGCCTGCAGCAACCCCGAAAACTCTCTATCTTCTTGCTGCCTGCCAAGCGTTTCATTTTCAGCAAGACTTTGCTCTAGCATTGAGAGACACACGTCTTCTGCTGTTCCCTTGCCTGTAGCTGAATGCTCAGAAGATCTGGAAGGGGAACTTGATGGGCAGCCTCACTCTGGGCAAAGCCCTGCAATGTGGAACCAGGGACACAGAGGAGGAACCATGACAGATGAGAGGTCTTGCTCCTTCGTGCTTGCATCTCTCAGCCCTGCCAACCGAGAAAATGACAGGGGGCGCTAACGAGTAGCTTCTGATGCAGAGAAATTCATGGATCAGGCCAATGTGTAAGAAAGAGCCTCCTATTTTTTTTTGTTATGCCAAGACCAAAAGAATCTTCTAGGAATAGGCAGAAAGGAGACGGCTAGAAATGTCTCTGCTGAGTGGAGCCATGCATATAAATAATTATTAAAAGGCATGGAAATAAAAAAGTCAGAGGACAAATAAAGAGAACTTCCCAAAGTCTAGCACTTCAACTGCGCTTCATGACCTTCTGGTTTCCAGAGGGTTTCACGACTGTTTTACAAGGTCTTGGGGAAAGTTCTGTTTAGTTGGCAAGTGCGCCGTGCGTGAGGGTGACCTCATGACCTATTTTACCAGTCTGTCATCACAAGGGGTAGCATGTCATGTTTACCCTCATCAGTCGTGTGCCAGGCTAGGAGAGGCCCCTCGCTCTAGACAAGGGATCTCCACCCAGACTGCTTTCCCTTCACAGCAGCACAAGGCAAGCTACTCCTGTGACTGACACCATTCTTGCAGGTACAGGGAGAAAGGCCTGATGTTGATGGTTTTGACCACCAAGGAGAGTGGAGACTGCGGGCTGAGTGGTGGAGGTGAAGGGTCCGTACGAGGGCAGGTGCTGGAGGCGCTGACGTGAGCCCAGCTCAGAGCCCAGGACGCTGGCCGCTGAGACTTCATCATATGGATGAAAAGTTCAGAGGGATAAGAAGAGGGCACTAGGTAAGGGTCGAGTGTGTGTGTTCAAGGAAGATTCCAAGTTTGTACCCAAAGGTTCCATGCCCAGGGAGAGCCAGACACCAACCCAGGACACGTGTTCCTACAATCTCAGCACCACAGTGGCAGATGTTTTGGCAACCTGGGCAAAGGATGCCATCTAGATGTGATTTCTAGAAGAGCCTGAGGGCACTGCAAAGGGACCGAGAAAATGTGAATGGGGCTGGGTTTGGAGAAACACGAGGCAGCGAGGCAGCGCTTGTTTCCAAAGTGGAAGTTAGTCTGGGGAGATCTCACGGGCCGGTCTGTGAACGCAAAGCTCAGCTTCACCGAGGCATGGACATCTGCGCGTGTGTTTCCTGCTAAGAGGGCTGAGGGGCCCCGGCGGAGAGCCAATGCGCCGTTCAGATGAAGGGCTGGGTCCTGTTTCCCCCACCCCAGCCCCTTCTAACCATCGCTGCTGAGACCCATGGGAAGGAATGACAGTTCTGGAGTCATGTTCTAGGCCTCTCCCCACAGCTGTTTCCACCACCTCTGTGAGCTCCCGGACTTCCTCCCTCGTCCTGCTCCCCTCCACGGCTACCACACACCTGAGGGTGAGGGCTGGCCTGAGCAAGGACAGGATGGAGCAATAAGTCAGACAGACTGGACTCGGACGGGCCAAGATTTTGCCCAGTTTTGCCTTTCTTTGGCCGCTGCTGGCTGAGCTTGCACAGAGCGGCTGTCAGGAGCCAGGCCTGCCTTCCCTCCAACCGGCCCGCTCTCCTCTAGCCTGGCCAGCCCTGCAGAAACCAGGGAGAAGGGCTGTACAGTGGGAGTGAACAGAAAAGCCAGCCGCCTCCTCTGTGATGACACCAGGAGGGTGAGGAGAGAGGCTGCACCCTTGCACCCCTCCTGGTGAGGGGCTGTGCTTAGAGAAATTCCAAATCAGAGACGGGAGCCGAGAAGGGAGTGGAGATCGGGATCACACACGTCCCGGTCTCGCCAAGCAAGATGAAGCTCAGCAAGCCCTACCACACAGTTGCGCAAAAATTGAGGGAAATAGAAGCGAACACAAGATATGCAAAACAGTAATGTCCAGACCTGTTTGTGGATAGCAGAGTCAGGATTTACACTGGCGATGCCTTTGCTCATTGTACAAATTAAAAGAAAAATTGTTCCTGTTCCCCCGACCACATATAGAAAAGCACTTAAGAGTTCAAGGTAAAGCTTGTCACACTCCAAATACAAAATGATTTACTTACATGCAGCAAAATATACAAGAAGTGAATTCAAAAACAAACTTAATTCAATTCATTATATTCGCTTGGCACAATTGCAATTCAGTTTTAAAAAAATATTTGTAAAATACTGAAACTGACCTGAATTCAAGTATAACGGTTTCTTCAACAGAAACATTATCGATGCAATAAAACATTACACGGAATAGATCGAAGCAAAATGCCTTCTTGAGTTTTTTTTTCCTTAAATTTCTGTGGTTTTTTTTTTTAAAATACAGTTTTAATGCCAACACAACTCACAATTGTATTTTTAAAATGAATATTATTGCATTGTTTTTGCATATCTTGTGGGACAGAAAATGCAAAGAGTTACTGATTCCCGTTTCAGAAGCAGAGACAGTGGTTTGTTTTTGCTTTCAAATGGCCCCAGATTCCAATCTCCCCACAGTTAAACCTGCAAGGGGAAGCTGTGTACTCGCCCTTGGTCTGCGCGCTCTGGCGTGGGTGCGGATGCACACACGACACGTGCACACAGACGGCCCACTACACACAAGTGACACACACAGACTCGCACACACGCTTCCTCTCCCAGCACCCGCCACCACACCCAGTTTGAAAAAGAACCGAACTCAGTCACCCATCTGTGCAAGACCATCTCAAGTGCATTGCGGATTACCTTTAAACTGTAAAATCAAACCAAAAATTTTTTGTTGCTACCTAAGGAAATGATAACAAATTATTGGGCATACTCATGGTGGGCACGACTCTCCTACAGCAGCGCTGTTGAACTGGCCGTAGAGAAGGGAAACCACACCGTTTAAATAACACAATAAAACCAAACCCTCTTTACATTTGCCAAAGTGAAAACTGTAAAGTGGGCGGCTACACAACCATGTAAACACTCTTCTTCCTCCCCTGCCCTTGGGAAAACAAAATGAAAAACAAAAAAACAAGACAACAAAATCCAAACCCAAATCAAACAAGAAACCCAACACTGCATCATGCTGTTCAGAAAACTATCAAGCCACAACACGAAAGAACGCTCCACAGCAGCTCAGCACCACCTGCCCTGAGCGGGCGGCGCCGCCCCGTGGGCTGAACCAGATGCTCGCCCTGACGCTGGCCCCCGGGGCCCGGGGCCCGTGTGGCCGAGGCAGGAGGTCCCGCCGCAGGTGACAGAGGTGGGGGCCGGCGCGAAGCGGCCACGCGGCTCACGCCCCTGCCCCTCGCCCCCAGCCCACTCGCCTCTGGCCCCAGCCCCGCCCCGCGCTGCTTCCTCCTCCCTCTGGGGTGGGGGGTTTGCTGACGTGACGCCTCCACTTCCTTCTGCAGATCCGCAGGGCCCTGGTCTATGGAGACAGTGAGGCTCATACAGAGTATGTGCAAAATGATTTTTTTTTTTTACAAGCAAAGTTGAAAGACACCCGTTTGACATAGGGTCCTTTTGGTGAGGGCTACCGCAGGAAGCTGAGGTTCTCTGTCATGCACGGAGGCGGCCGCCGGTTCCTGGCGCAGGGCCTGAAATACAGCAGGAGGGCGGGCAGGCGTCGCCCGGGCTCGGCCTCCCTGACTCGACTCTTGCACCTGCTCCTCACCACTCTACCTCTGTGGACACAAACTGGGGTTGCTGCTTTCTTCCCCCCTGAAAAGCTGACGCTCCGCACCACCCAACTCTGCGTCTTGTCCCAACGAAATGAATGAAGACGCTGTTCCGGTTAACTCCAGGTCACGAGAACAGTGAGGCACTTCTGAAACGAACCCATTAGGAACATTGAAACAAATAAAAAACCCAGCATCTCCCCAGCCCTGGCCACTACAGGCTGCTCACGCAGGCTCTGCTGTCCTGGAATTCCTCCTCGCTCTTTCGACACTCCAGGCTGGGCGCACAGGTCTCGTCACCCCCACCCCCTGCTCTGTCATGCCCCGGGTCCCTGCAGTTAACAAAAGGTAAGAGGGTGCCATTGGGGCTCTGTTGGGTGCCCCCGCTGAGGATGTTGTCGGCCGCGTTCTCCATCTCCTCTATTGTCATGTCGCAGGCGTCAGCCAGCTCCTGGGTGGTGGCCTCGATAAACTTGGGATCTTGAGCAAACTGCCCCAGTCCTTCTGAAATCAAGACCTGAAGAGGGGTGGAGACAGAGGGCCATAAGAAGAACCAAAGAGGAGCGTTATTCCTGGGACTGCTAGCCTTTCCTTCGGGCTGGGCCAAGGGGGTTCTGGCGGGGACTTCAGGCAGCATGTAGGTGTGTGTGAACATGCAGCGTGCTCACGAGTGTGTGGCCACGACACGTGTGCACGCACATGCTGACAGGTGCACACATACGTGTCCACACGAGCACGTGTGTGCCTACCCGGGTGTGCGCATGGGGCAGGAGCAGAGAGGGGGCAGGTCTCCGGGGTGTGGAGGCCGGGTGGCAGGGAGATGTCTGGGGGTGCAGTCACCAAACACGTGACACCATGGGTCCCAGAGGGACTTCGGGGTGTGGCTGGGCTGTCTAGCAGGCAGGACCCCCTTCCCCCCCCACACCTGCCCTGGTTTTCTCCTCTTGGCATCTAGATGCCCCCATCTAATCCTTTCCAAGAAACGTTTGCTCTCTCTCAGTGAAAATGCCAACTGTGCCTCTGCCAGCGGGCTGCCTTTCCGGGGTTCGGGGTCCTGGGGTGTGACTGTGCCGAGCACGGCGATGCACTGCCCCTTTCTGCCCCCAGACAATTGCAGGTGATCCCAAAGCTTCTCCCTCCTTCCCAGGGCTGCGCCGAGGGGTGGGCCAGAGCGTGGAGCGAGGACACTCTCCTCCCAGGTGAGTTTATCAGCCCCCGTCACTTTTTCTCCGGCCTCCATCACTTTCTACTTCCTCATCTGCTGAGTTTTTCTTCCTGCTCCCCCCCGCCCCCCGCTCCCCTGCAACTCCCCGCTTGCTGACACCTCACTACCTGTTTGCTCTCAGCCACTCTTTTCCACAGAGCGAGCCAGGAGAGCAGAGCCCTAGTTTCCAGTTGTATCTCTGCCCCTGCACTTTGAACAGCACATGCAGGACTCGCTCAGCTGTGCGCTGAGCGAGGGTCACCAAGGCCGAGTGAAGCCTCCTGGAGCTTTGGCGTTAGCCAGGACTGGGCTGTGCACCCCTCCCGGCTGCGGGCCTGCAGACAGCAGGGGCGCTGTCTCTGCTTGCCTGTGCCCAGCGAGGGGGCTCACTCTCTTACAGGGGAGCCCTCCTAGAAGGCTCTGCTGGGAAAGCTGACCTCCATGCACTGAACACTCCCTGCAGGCTGACCTAGCCACGCACTCCTGCCCTCGAGACCGCATGCCCGGCCAGGGGATCCTGACACGTCCGACACGGCATCAGAGGCTCTCGGGCGGGCATCTCGCCAGCTGCCCCAGTGCCTTCCACCAGCTCTTGTATGGATCGGCTTACAGGACCTCGCCCACCTGAGTGTCCTCCTCTGGGACACTTTGCCAAAAGTCCTCTAAAAGGTGGAGCCAGGATGGCACTAGATGTTCGAACAGGGTGGAGGACAGTGAAACACACAGCACTCCTGCTCTGGCCCCTGGTCTCCGCCCTGGCTGTGTAGTAGAATCACCACAGGGCTTTAAAAACGTCCATTTGATTTGTCCCAGGCCGCTGAAGCTCCCCAGGTGATTCCAATGAGCAACCAGGCTGGAGAAGCTCAGGTGTACAAATGCAGCCAGAACACGCCTGCCTCGACGGCAGGCACAGAAGCCTACTGGCTTGTGCAAGTGGGCTCCTTGGGGACCCCCGGCCCATGGCAGAGAATGTCCTTGGGGACCCCCGGCCCATGGCAGGGAATGTCCTTGGGGACCCCCGGCCCATGGCAGGGAATGTCCTTGGGGACCCC